CCATGAGCTGCTCCACTTGATCGACTCCGCATGGTCATGGAACTCAAAGGTTTTATTGTCACCAGAAGCGACCGAGGAGCTGCTGTTTTGGACAATGCACTTTGATCGTTTCAATGACGCCCCATTCCACCAGAGTCAGCGTTTTGATGCAGTGATACACGTCGACGCGAGCGCGCACAGCTGGGGTGCCACCTTGGCCAAGTTCCCAAGTACATCATGCGAGGCAAGCGAGTGCATGCCACAAGGGCTTCTCCCCACATCTAGTACGCGGCGAGAGCTCGAGGGAGTGCTCTGGGCACTGCGGACGTTCGCAACCCAAATCGTGGGCGCTCACGTCCTCGTCCGGGTGGACAACCAGGCAGTCATGTTTATCTTGCGCAAGGGGGGATCCCGTCAGGCGGATCTTACGTCGACATGCCAAGCGATCATCCAGTTCTGCCTCGGCAACACAACACGCCTCGCGATCGAATGGATTCCGAGGGAGCTCAACGCCCATGCGGATGACCTATCCAAGATGCAAGATTTTGACGACTACTCCCTACATGCACCTTGGTTTCGCCTCTTGGAACGACGCTGGGGGCCTCACACAATTGATCTCTTTGCTAACGTTCAGAACAATCACGTTCAGCGCTTCTGCTCCAAGATACCGCACCCCGACGCATTCGCCGTCGACGCATTTTCCATCTCGTGGAAAGGCGAGCGATGCTTTGCCTTCCCGCCTCCACACTTAATTCCCGCTACACTCCGCCACGCGGAACTGACGCAGACAGAACTCACGCTCGTCGTTCCCCAGTGGACCGGAGCGTCATGGTGGCCGCTTCTTCAACCGTCCACTCAATCGTGGGCTCCAGCAGTAGTCGAGCACCTTTCCCTTGCCCAAGGCAGTCAATGCCTTCGGGCAGGTTCACACACAGCTGCATTCTCTGGTCTCGGATTGCCTCATAGCCCAATCATTGCTTTGCGTGTAAACTATGCAGTCTAATAACAATTTCTCAATGTGTCATTTCAGGACTTTTGGCCTAACTAAAGCAACAATTGCTGCACGTAATTAGCCACGCTCGCGCACCATCTACAATCGAGACGTACCAACCTTATTGGCAGAGATTTCGCACCTTCTGTACCCAAGTTAAGCTCGAGTTCCTCCCGACAACCGACCTGACGCTAGCGCTGTATCTCATCCATGCGCTCAACAACAAAGCAACCCTCTCCGCGATCAACCTCACGTGTTCGGCAGTAGCCTTTGCCCACCGCATGACAGGCGAAACCTCCCCTACCGCCGGCCCACTCACCCTGCAAGTGCGGGAGTTCGCCAAGAGACATGGTCCCCGCCCTACAAGAACCAAAGAGCCCATATCTCTCCATCAAGTGCACGACATGGCTCGTCCCTTCCTCGAATCATCAATTCCTGCGGAATACCAGAAAGGATTGATTCCTCTTCTCATGTTTTCGGCATTCTTGCGCTACTCCGACCTCGTCTCGCTCCAATGGAATGACGTACAGTTCGAGGAGAAGGCAATGTGGCTGCTCATTCCGCACTCCAAGACGGACCAGGAGGGGAGGGGAGTCTGGATCCCCGTGGCGGCAATTCCAGGCCCATACTGCCCGGTGAGGTGCACGCGCGCATTCATACACATCGCAGGCCTCACAAAGGTGCCCCATGGACCGCTGATAAGGGTTTTCCCAAAGAACTCACAAGCCACACCGAACGACAAATCGCCATCCTACGTTACGATCAGAAACTGGTGCCTCGTAGCCGGCAGGCAAGCTGGACTGGATGTCGCGCACATCGGAACCCACTCATTCCGCAAAGGCGCAGCCACTGCAGCGGCGAGCCTCGGAGTTCCTGACCGGCTCTTCAAACGCATGGGCCGATGGCGCAGCGACAGCGCGAAGGAGATGTACGTTACAATCGCGCAGGATCAGCTCATCTCCCTCTCTACGCAATTGCAGGATCCTTCGACGGCTCCCTCGCCCGCTACACATCAGCTATCCATCGAACGCCACCGGCAGCCCCGACTACACTTGCCTCAGAAGACCCATATGAAATGATAACGCTGCCTTTGCCAGTCAGCCTAAGTACACTTTCACAATATGATAATTTTTGAAAGTGTAATGAAATGTAACACTTTCTAAAATTTTGTATTGTGAAAAGGGGTACGTGGCCAACACAGCAAAGGTAGCGCCGAAGCGCTACTCACCCTCTTTTGCCTACAAAAGAGGGACGTGGGGACATTCGTCCCCACCCACGTTTTCATTTTCAAAATTGTAGTTCTAATTTCCCACCCGCCCACCCATTTGTGTATGCTGTTATGTAGACATATATAAGACGAGAACGATGTACTACAACCCATATGAAATGATAACGCTGCCTTTGCCAGTCAGCCTAAGTACACTTTCACAATGTAGGCTGATGAATCAGTCTTAGCAAAAAAAAAATCGCTGGAAAATCAGAGTTACCTAGAAAAAAAAGCTGGAACATCAGTGTCATTGAAAATAAAAGGCTATCTCATTTTTTTCCTACAGACAATTGCAACCACATGTTTTAGGGCGGTACGCCATCATCCCTTTGCTCCTATGCAGGGTGCTTAGCACAGGTGCGGCCAAGATTGTCTTCGTGCTGCTCACCCCCCCTCCCCCCCTTCCCCCTCAGCGTTGTGCACACACTCGATGGCGGCCAAGATCAGCGAGTGCATCAGCTCTGCTCCTAACTGCACGGTATGGGAGCAACGAAGGGATGGGAGAGTTCAAAGGGAAGAGGTAGGTGGGGAGGGGGAAAGCGAGGGTGCAGAGGAGAGGGAATGAAATAGATCATTAGTGCAACAGAGAGCTGCCAAAAGCTGAGCACGCACCAAAAAGGGTGGGAGGGGAAGGGGGGAAACGGGTATGTGGGACAGGAGCGTGGAAGAGATGGGCGAGTTGAAGCAGGAAATGTGTAGAAGTGCAAATAGGGCGGTGGAAGAGAGGAAACGATAGCACTGGGCCGAATAAATGCGAGAACACGGCATGGAGAATCCGCAGCGACGCCGCGGCGACGAGCTGGTATTCGGCACGTGCAGGCGACGGTGAAGGGAATTTAGCGAGCACGGTGACAAGCAGGCACCGGGGACGAGCAGGCAAAACGGCGGGAAAGAGCAGGCGTCACGGCGTTGGTGACGGCGCAGCAACGAGCAAGCGCGGGCTTAGGAATAGGCATGCATGGGTAGCACGGGTGTCAACGAATGAGGAAAATGCATTGGGAGTAAGGCGACATTAAGGGCGATGTCAGGTTATACACTTCACACGTTCTTACAGTTCCTGTATCGTGGTTCAGGACGGTCTAACACGGTGAAAAGCGGTTCTCGACAATTACCACGCTTCACCGTGTTGAAACGAAGTTTACCGGAGAGGGCGTACAAAAAGCTGTACAACCTGACGTCGCCCTAACTGTCTGTTATGAAACAAAGGCGTGGGGTGAAAGGGCAGTCTAAGGGCCAAAGGGACAAGCTAAGGGACGCGTGGGAACAAGTGGGTGGAGGTGAGTCTCTTGTGAGTCTTGCTCGACTCCTGACTCAGGAGTCCTGAGGTTTTGGGAAATGGTTGGTTTGAGTAACACTTGTGGGAGGACGGTGGGACTGGCGAACTGTGTACAGTACCTAGACATCCGAAATTCAGCACACCTACGCGTATCTCCATTAGTGGGATTTCAGCCAACCCCCCCGTTACGACGCTGGTCAGTGAGTGTAAACTACAGAAAAAAAGCTGAAATATCAGCCCTTACATAGAAACAAAATCTGAAAATTCAGCCTACACACTAAAAAAAAAGCTGACAAATCAGCCCCACTATCTCCACAGCACTGAAAACACAGCCTTTTTAACCCTAATCAGCCTTTTTTCGCTGACTTCTGAGGCCCTGCGAGCAACGCTGCCCCAACAACGATCCCCACCTCAAATGCAGACCCGACACATTTTAACATCACACCTCAGTTGCATAACACGTGCAAAAACAACACAAACAACTGTGAGTGGATGCTAAAATGCATCGGTGCTACAGTAGAGGTGGTTCCGGTATGCTAAGGCGAGCAACGCTGCCCCAACAACGATCCCCACCTCAAATGCAGACCCGACACACTTTAACATCACACCTCAGTTGCATATACGGTACAAGGCACTTTAGCACACGCCTCGAGACAGACAGGTGCAAACAAACACACACACGTACCGTATCTCACATAGGCGCACACGCGCACGTACATACGCACATGTACAACACACACTAACACACACGCAAACAAGCACATATAGATACAAAGACCGTAATAAAGACACAACCGTCATGAATAAAATTCAGAAATGCAGAAATGATTGCTGGCCTATCCCACCTTCCCCTCCCTACAACCCTCCCTCCCTCCTTCCCTCATCTCCATCCCACTCCCTCCCTCATCTCCCTTCGCAGCTCATGCGCCCTGCACAAAGCAAAATCAGGGAAGTCAGCACACACACGCCCTGCACAAAGCAAAACCAGAGAAGTCAACACACACACGCCCTGCACAAAGCAAAATCAGAGAAGTCAACACACACGCGCCCTGCACAAAGCAAAATCAGAGAAGTTAGCACACACGCGCCCTGCACAAAGCAAAAACAGAGACGTCAACACGCGGCCTGCACAAGCAAAAACCGAGAAGTCAACTCTCACACGCGCCCTCTCACGCTCGCTCACGCGCTCTCTCACACGGACTCTCACGCGCTCTCTCACACGAAGTCTCACGCGCTCTCTGACACTCTCTGACGTGCTCTCTCATGCGCACACTCAAGCTCTCTCACTCGCTCACTCACGCGCTCTCTCACGCGCTCTCTCACGCGCTCTCTCACGCGCTCTCTCATGCGCTCTCTCACGCGCGCTTTTACGCGTACTCTCACGCGCTCTCTCACGCGCATTCTCACGCGCTCTCTCCTGCGCTCTCTGACGCACTCTCGCACACGCTCTCTCACGCTCTCTAACGCACTCTCTCATGCGCTCCCTCATGCGCTCCCGCACGCGCACTCTCTCGCACATTCTCTCTCTCTCATGCGCTCTCTCGCGCGCTCTCTTGCGCGCTCTCTCACTCGCTCTCTCGCTCGCACTCTCACTCGCCCTCTCACGCGCTCTCTCACATGCTCTCCCACGCAATCTCTCATGGGCTCTCACGCATTCCATCGCACTCCCTCTCGCGCACTCTCTTGCACATTCTCTCTCTCACGCGCTCTCTCACGCGCTCTTTCATGCAATCTATTACGCGGTCCTTCACGCGCTCTCTCACGCGCTCTCTCACGCACTCTCTCACGCACTCTCTCACGCGCTCTCTGACACGCGCTGTCTCACGTGCTCTCTCACGTACTCTCTCATGCACTCTCTCACGCACTCTCTCACGCGCTCTCTCATGGGCTCTCACGCACTCCCTCACGTGCTCTCTCTCGCGCACTCTCTTGCGCATTCCCTCGGTCACGCGCTCTTTCTCGCGCACTCCCACGCGCCTCTTACGCGCACTCCCACGCGCTCTCTTACTCGCTCCCTCACGCGCTCTCTCACGCGCTCTCTCACGCGCTCTCTCACGCGCTCTCTCACGCGCTCCCTCACGCGTTCTCTCACATGCAATCTCTTACGCGGTCCTTCACGCGCTCTCTCACGCTCTCTCACGCACTCTCTCACGCACTCTCTCACGCGCTCTCTGACACGTGCTCTCTCACGCGCTCTCTCACGCGCTCTCTCTCGCGCACTCTCTTGCGCATTCCCTCGGTCACGCGCTCTTTCTCGCGCACTCCCACGCGCCTCTTACGCGCACTCCCACGCGCCCTCTTACGCGCTCCCTCACGCGCTCTCTCATGAGCTCTCTCACGCGCTCTCTCACGCGCACTCTCACGCGCACTCGCTCTCTCACGCGCTCCCTCACGCGCTCTCTCACGTGCTCTTTGATGCAATCTCTTACGCGGTCCTTCACGCGCTCTCTCACGCTCTCTCACGCACTCTCTCACGCACTCTCTCACGCGCTCTCTGACACGTGCTCTCTCACGCGCTCTCTCACGCGTTCTCTCACGCGCACTCTCACGCGCACTCGCTCTCTCACGCGCTCTCTCACGCACTCTCTCATGCACTCTCGCACGCGCTCTCTGACACGTGCTCTCTCACGCGCTCTCTCACGCGCTCTCTCACGCGCTCTCTCACGCGCACTCTCACGCGCACTTGCTCTCTCACGCGCTCCCTCACACCCTCTCTCACACACTCTCTCACGCGTTCCCTCACGCGCTCTCTCACGCGCACTCTCACGCGCTCTCACGCGCTTGCGCTCTCTCACTCGCACTCTCACGCGCACTCTCACGCGCACTCTCACGCGCACTTTCACACGCACTCTCACGCGCTCTCACACGCCCCCTCACGCGCTCTCTCACGCACTCTCTCACGCTCTATCTCACACACTCTCTCACGCGCTCTCTCACGTGCTCCCTCACGCACTCTCTCATGCGCTCTCGCATGCGCACTCTCACGCGCTCTCTCACATGCTCTCTCACGCAATCTCTCATGCGCTCTCTCACGGGCTCTCACGCATTCCGTCGCACTCCCTCTCGCACACTCTCTTGCGCATTCTCTCTCTCATGCGCTCTCATGCACACTCTCTCGCACACTCTCACGGGCTCTCTCACGTGCTCTTGAATGCAATCTTTTACGCGGTCCTTCACGCGCTCTCTCACGCGCTCTCTCATGCACTCTCTCACGCACTCTCTCACTCACTCTCTGACACGTGCTCAATCACACGCTCTCTCACGCGCTCTCTCACGCGTACTCTCACGCGCTCTCGCTCTCTCACACGCTCCCTCACGCGCTCTCTCACGCACTCTCTCACGCGCTCCCTCACGCGCTCTCTCACGCGCACTCTCACGCGCTCTCTGATGCGCTCGCGCTCTCTCATGCACTCGTGCTCTCTCACTCGCACTCTCACGCACACTCTCACGCGCACTTTCACACGCACTCTCACGCGCTCTCACACGCTCCCTCACGCGCTCTCTCACGCACTCTCTCACGCTCTATCTCACACACTCTCTCACGCGCTCTCTCACGTGCTCCCTCACGCACTCTCTCACGCGCTCTCGCATGCGCACTCTCACGCGCTCTCTCACATGCTCTCTCACGCAATCTCTCATGCGCTCTCTCACGGGCTCTCACGCATTCCGTCGCACTCCCTCTCGCACACTCTCTTGCGCATTCTCTCTCTCACGCGCTCTCTCATGCACACTCTCTCGCACACTCTCACGCGCTCTCTCACGTGCTCTTTGATGCAATCTCTTACGCGGTCCTTCACGCGCTCTCTCACGCACTCTCTTGCGCACTCTCTCACGCGCTCTCTGACACGTGCTCTCTCACGCGCTCTCTCACGCGCTCTCTCACGCGCTCTCTCACGCGCACTCTCACGCGCACTCGCTCTCTCACACGCTCCCTCACACGCTCTCTCACGCACTCTCTCACGCGCTCCCTCACGCGCTCTCTCACGCGCACTCTCACGCGCTCTCTCATGCGCTCGCGCTCTCTCATGCACTCGTGCTCTCTCACTCCCACTCTCACGCGCACTCTCACGCGCACTTTCACACGCACTCTCACGCGCTCTCACACGCTCCCTCACGCGCTCTCTCACGCACTCTCTCACGCTCTATCTCACACACTCTCTCACGCGCTCTCTCACGTGCTCCCTCACGCACTCTCTCACGCGCTCTCGCATGCGCACTCTCACGCGCTCTCTCACATGCTCTCTCACGCAATCTCTCATGCGCTCTCTCACGGGCTCTCACGCATTCCGTCGCACTCCCTCTCGCACACTCTCTTGCGCATTCTCTCTCTCACGCGCTCTCTCATGCACACTCTCTCGCACACTCTCACGCGGTCCTTCACGTACTCTCTCACGCACTCTCTCACGCGCTCTCTCACGCGCTCTCTCACGGGCTCTCATGCACTCCCTCACATGCTCTCTCTCACGCACTCTCTTGCGCATTCCCTCTGTCACGCGCTCTTTCTTGCGCACTCCCACGCGCTCTCTCACGCGCACTCCCACGCGCTCTCTTATGCGCTCTCTGACGCACTCCCTCACACGCTCTCTCACGCGCTCTCTCACGCGCTCTCTCACGCGCACTCTCACGCGCTCTCTCACGCGCACTCGCACTCTCACGCGCTCCTTCACTCGCTCTCTCACGCGCTCCCTCACGCGCTCTCTCACGCGCTCCCTCACGCGCTCTCTCACGCGCACTCTCACGCGCTCTCTCACTCGCACTCTCACGCGCACTCTCACGCGCACTCTCACGCGCACTCTCACACGCACTCTCACGCGCTCTCACACGCTCCCTCACGCGCTCTCTCACGCACTCTCTCACTTGCGCCCTCACGCGCTCTCTCACGCACTCTCTCACTTGCGCCCTCACGCGCTCTCTCACGCACTCTCTCACGCGCTCTCGCACGCGCTCTTGCATGCGCACTCTCACGCGCTCCCGTGCACACGTTCCCCCTCGCGCTCCTCTTCTTTAAATAGAAGTGCAATGCAAGAGGAAACGAATTGACTAACAAAATTTACAAGGCGAGCAGAGAAGTAAAATATAGGGGGAAATTTCAGAAGGGGGCGGGAGGATTAAAGGACCGAGAACGCACCTAATAATCAGAATGCCTCAGAAAACAACCCTCGCTGGCGCACCAACCCGCGCTCGCGCACCAAACAGCGCTCGCGCACCCTTCCGAGCTCGCGCATCGACCCGCCCTCGCGCACCAACTCGCGCTTGCGCTCGTGCACCTGTCGCCAGAGGCGACGGAAGGGAGGAGGGAGAGGCGACGACAGGGAGGAGGGAGAGGCGACGGCGGGAGGGAGGGAGAGGCGACGGCGGGGAGGAGGGAGAGGCGACGGCGGGGAGGAGGGAGAGGCGACGGCGGGGAGGAGGGAAAGGCGACGGCGGGGAGGAGGAGAGGCGACGGCGGGGAGGAGGGAGAGGCGACGGCGGGGAGGACGGAGAGGCGACGGCGGGGAGGACGGAGAGGCGACGGCGGGGAGGAGAGGCGACGGCGGGGAGGAGGGAGAGGCGGCGGCGGGGAGGAGGGAGAGGCGACGGCGGGGAGGAGGGAGTGGCGGCGGCGGGGAGGAGGGAGAGGCGACGGCGGGGAGGTAAGGGAGAGGAGATGGCGGGGTGGAACGGAGTGATTGTGAGGTGGGAGAGAGAGGCGATGGCGGAGTGGGAGGGAGAGGTGACGGGGGAAAGTGAGGGAGAGGATACGGGAATGGGAGGGAGAGCGACGGCTGGGTGGGAGGTACTAGCGACGGTGGGGTGGGAGGAGAAATAGCTAGAGAAGAAAGTAGCGAGCAAGAACGGAACCTCAGGAGGAACCAAGAACGGAATCAAGAAATGAAGAGCGTCGAAATCGAGTTTGACAGCTGTGAAAGGGATGGATACCTTGGGCTTGGTTGGTTTGTCGTGGAGCTGGAGATAAATTTTCTGCCAGCGCAGAATGAGGCACCGAAACTTCTCTATTCATAGAAGTATGAGCACAAGGGCGAATGGCAAGCTTAAAACCGGAGGTCCAAGAGTTTCAAAGTTAGGAAGGTTGGTTGGGCAGAGAAATACAATTGGATGACGAGGAGGTTGGGTTCACGAATTTGTCTAGGGATGTTCGCCCGTCTGGGGATTTGTCATTGTTACCACAATTGCTGTGCGACACTAACTCCAAAGTCAAAACATCGCCAGACACACTCTGCGACCAGAACGTTGCCAATGGCAGAATATGTGCAGCGGCAGCAATAATTACGTGAAAGTTAGCTGAATCCAGTAACTCAGCTAGTAAACTCACATCATTCTCAGCAAATATTTGCAGGTCCCATCCAGCAACTTAGTAGTGGTGCGGATCATATCCCCACATCTCATCCACATCCTCCCACTCCAGATCTTCCATGTCTCCTCTTTCCTCCTCTCCCCCCACGCCAACCGCATCTCTTTCCCCCACGGTGGGTACACCTTCCTCCCCTCCTTGCCCTCCCACTCCACCCCCGTTCACTGGAACATCAACCGTAGTTGAGGGAGATGTGGCAACCATGCTGGCTCTTTGTCTCTTATGCGGCCTCCCATCCGTACTTACTTGTGCCTCCCCTCCCATTTTTCCCGCCCCGCATCCCTTTCCCACTCCGCTGACTTGTTGTCGCAGCCGCAACACCTTACGCATGTCTGGGTGTTTCCATTGTGCAGCAGTGGCTTCCAGCTTCTTGAAAGGAATGCGTTTGAGTAATCCACACACAGCGCTAACAAGATCCTCTTTTGTGGGTTTCTTTGGTAGGCGACCCTTGTAACCCACCTCGGAAAGCCACGCGGAAAGGTGCTGGGGAGTAACATGCCACAAATCCTCAATCGTTTCGCACTCGGGAACGCGAAGAGATGGCTTCTTTGCCTCGATAAAGTCTTTGACAAACCGCCTGGTCAAATTCCGACCCTTGTGCCACACATCCATCTGATGGTTTATCTCTTTTCCTATGATTGCCGCTTTGAACGAACCCCCTTCATCAGAAATGATGCCCTTAACCACGAAACCAAGTTGTTTCAACTCATCTAAGCCTCGATCAAATGCAACTTTCTCGAGTTGAGTGGACGACCCACCTACAATCTGTTTGGACACCGTGACACAATGCAAGACCTGCCTTGTAATCCGATCCATGAACGACACAGTGCACCAAGCTCCCTCTCGTGCCTTGTCCCACCGACCATCAACACAAATCCACTCCCCAGGAATCATCCTTCGACCCATTTGTTCTCTCACAGCCTCCATTGACTTGGATGCTTGTCTCCGTATGCTACACCACAGGCCGTTCTCTCCATCCATGAGACGATAAAATGTCTGCTTACTGGGTATCCTGATACCCAGCGTGCGACTGACCTCCCATAGAGCTTGAAAGCCTAACCCCGCAAGCGAAAATGCACCCATGAATCGCTGCACCATGGGAGGGGTCCTGGGACCACGACTTCCTGGCCCTTCATCACTGGTGTACCGTTTGGTGGACCAGAACTCAAGAGAGCCACCACACTGATCACATCTCTATGCCAGTCCAAGACACGACCACACTTGCCACCACGAGCGTAAGCGCATTCTACCGTTGCAACTGGGCCGAGCAGCGCAACACAAATAGAGGGTCATGAAGAATTGCACGATCAACAGTGGGTCCAGAAGACATACCAGGTTGCCTGAAAGCTGAGCTAGAGTTGGGGATTCAGGCCACCCAGGTGGGGCTCTCATTGTCACATGCGCCCTGTAAAAAACCCACAAGAGTTGAAACGAAAGAACATATAATACAATATGATGGACAATGCAATCCAATCAACATATGACTTTTATGTTATGGGCATAGAATGCAAGCCTCTCAACCCACACATGGAGACCAATATAACTTTAGTATGGACGGTGGAGGGTTTACATACACACCCCGCACTCATGCGCATGGAGTGCCACATTCTCAAACATTTAAGCGTGGGCTGAGGTGTGTTGCAACACGTTCAACATACCTGGCCTGAGGACACCCCTCCTCGAGCTCGTGCAACCAAACCCCCTCGTCAATTGGAGGCTCCTGTAGAAGACCCTTAACCCCATCGCCTTCCTCCAGTGCTGTTCCGGCCACAACGTTCCCTTCCGGCACTCCAACCCCTTCTCCTAGCCCTGTTCTCATCCTAGTGCTTTCTTGACCACCCATTCCTACCCCCACCCCTACCTCCAAGGACGTTCCCATCCCAAGGCATTCTCCCCCCCGCCCCCCTTCCTCCAGTACCGATCCGACCCCCACCTCTTCCGGCCCAGTTCCCCCTTCTCCCAGCCCTGTTCTCATCCCAGCGCTTTCTTGACCTCCCATTCCTACCCCCACCCCTACCTCCAAGGACGTTCCCATCCCAGGGCATTCTCCCCCCCGCCCCCCTTCCTCCAGTACCGATCCGACCCCCACCTCTTCTGGCCCAGTTCCCCCTTCTCCTAGCCCTGTTCTCATCCCAATGCCTTCTTGCCCTCCACTTCCAACCCCCACCCCTATGCCCTGGACCTGAGCCCCCCCCCCGTCCCCCCACCCTGTCTTCACATGATGTTTCGTCCAGATCCTGATCTTGTCCCCCCACCCCTACCTCCTGGGTTATTCCCGCCCCAGCGCATCCCCTCCCCCTCACCCCTTCCTCCAGCATTGCTCCTACCCTCACCCCTTCCGACTCTGCTCCCACTTCCTCCAGCCTTGTTCCCATCCCAGTGCCTTCTTTCCAAACAATTCCACCCCCCAAGGACGTTCCGACCCCATGGCCTTGCTGCCCCCCCAGCCCTTCCTCTAGCCCGTCACACTGATCGCGGTGGTCGGTTGGGGGCAGGTCTTCCATCAGATCGGCATCACACTCAGGGATGGGCAGCAGGTCCTCGGCGAGCTCAAAAACCGTCTCCTCCGCAGGTGCTGCCACCCCCAGCCCATCCTCACTTGCGAGCGGTCCGTCGCGCTGCCCTCCTGCCCAGAACAAGGGTGAAAAATTGCTACACAATTGTTGTGAATCGAACCAACCGCAAATCATTTGCGCCCCGACATTGACACACCCAAGACCACATGGCAAATTTGCACCGTGACATGCAATCGTAGACGACACCGCATTGGGCAACCTTTAGAGTAGCTGTTCTCACCCGAATTCTTCAGTGCCTCGTACTTGGGCCCACGGCGAGCTCCCCCGTGGTTGAAATTCCCAGGCACTTGTATCTTTGCGTCGGTGTTGATGAAGCACAGTACAAACCCATACGTCACCGATTCTATCCGCTGTGGTGGCTTAGATACAAGCTCTGCCACATTCCCGACGGCATCCTTATCATGGTACTGGAGCGCCTGACCGTGTGCCGCCAGACGCATGCGTGCAATCGACGCAGCTGTTTTGCCGTCCATTCCTGTGAGTCGTGCAGGTGGGGCAAACAGAATTACGTCACAATGCAGCTCATTGTTAGGAAAGGCGGCCTCGTCGTCTCACATTGGACTCATGTGCAACAGAACACTTTGTCTAGCATCGCACTCTTAGACGGGGAATATCGATATGCGCTCACTCTTAGCCACAGAACTCACCGTTCTTTGCTGCCACAGCCATAAGTCTGTTCGTGAGGTGTGGCGCAGCCAACGTGTAAAGGTAGAACAAGTCCCCGCACGAGGCTTCTCGTTTCCCACCGAAAATGATTGTAGCTCCGCTTCGCAAGAGAGCAATCGGCTCTTGCATATGCCTTGATATTGGATGCTGGGGGGTCCTATGCTTCTTCGCGATGCGACCAACGAGTTGTGCCATCACGCTTGCGTGCTTAGCCCTCCTTCCTTACGACTGTCAGCAGTGGAAAATGGGGTGAATCAAGGGGGACAGAGAGAGAGCAGCCCTGAAATGGGGTGAATCAAGGGGGACAGAGAGAGAGAGCATTCGGGAAATGGGGCAAATCAAGGGGGACAGAAAGAGAGCAGCCCTGAAATGGGGTGAATCAAGGGGGACAGAGAGAGAGCAGCCCTGAGATGGGGTGAATCAAGGGGGACAGAGAGAGAGCAGCCGGGAAATGGGGTGAATCAAGGGGGACAGAGAGAGAGCAGCCCTGAAATGGGGTGAATCAAGGGGGACAGAGAGAGAGCAGCCCTGAAATGGGTTGAATCAAGGGGGACAGAGAGAGAGCAGCCCTGAAATGGGGTGAATCAAGAGGGACAGAGAGAGAGCGGCCCTTAAATGGGGTGAATCAAGGGGGACAGAGAGAGAGCAGCCCTGAAATGGGTTGAATCAAGGGGGACAGAGAGAGTGCAGCCCTGAAATGGGGTGAATCAAGGGGGACAGAGAGAGAGCAGCGGGGACATGGGGTGAATCAAGGGGGACAGAGAGAGAGCAGCGGGGACATGGGGTGAATCAAGGGGGAAAGAGAGAGAGCAGTGGGGACATGGGGTGAATCAAGGGGGGAAAGAGAGAGAGCAGCGGGGACATGGGGTGAATCAAGGGGGAAAGAGAGAGAGCAGCGGGGACATGGGGTGAATCAAGGGGGAAAGAGAGAGAGCAGTGGGGACATGGGGCGAATTAAGGGGGAAAGAGAGAGAGCAGCGGGGACATGGGGCGAATCAAGGGGGAAAGAGAGAGAGCAGCGGGGACATGGGGCGAATCAAGGGGGAAAGAGAGAGAGCAGCGGGGACATGGGGCGAATCAAGGGGGAAAGAGAGAGAGCAGCGGGAAGCGCAATGCGTGAAGGGGAGTTGCTGGATGTTGGGGAAGGGAAGGTGGGCGGGCTGACAACAGGGAATGTGCGCGCGTGGGGAAGGGAATGTGCGCGCGAGGGGAAGGGAATGTGCGCGCGTGGGGAAGGGAATGTGCGCGCGTGGGGAAGGGAATGTGCGTGCGTGGGGAAGGAAGTGTGCCTTCGTGGGGAAGGGAATGTGCGCACTTGGGGAAGGGAATGTGCGCGCGTGGGGAAGAGGATGTGCGCGCGTGGGGAAGGGGATGTGCGCGCGTGGGGAGGGGGATGTGCACGCCTCGGGGGGAAGGGGATGTGCGCGCGCCGGGGAAGGGGAATTGCTCGCGGTGGGAAGGGAATGTGCGCGCTCTGGGGAAGGGAATGTTTGCACGCGGGCGGAGTGCAGTTGCGCGCGCTAGTGAAGGGAACGTGCGCGCGATGGGGAAGGGAACGTGCGCGCGCAGGAGGGGGGCATGTGCGGGCGCTTGGGAGGAGAGTGTTTGGGCGATTGTGATGGGATTGTGCGCGCGATTGAGAAGGGACTCCTCCTGTCCTGGCGCTGCGGAAAGGAATATCCGGGCGCTGCGGAACGGAATGTCTGGGCGCACTGTGTGGGCATGTCTGGGCGTTGGAGAAGGAAGTATGAGGGTGACGCAGACCTGGAATGGCATGGCGACGCGGAGGAATAGGGAGGGCGGCGCGCAGGGACTGTGAGAAGGATGGGAGAAGATTATACCGGCTTATGCGCGCAGAAACGTGGGCTGAGGTCTTGAAAGGTGGAGCTCTACCCTGGTCGACGCGGAGTGTGATTACGCGGCACGTGTAGGCCTGCACAAACCCTATCTTTTGCTGGCTCTGAAGGCCGTCACTTCCTAGCCATGCGTGAAAGGTGCGGGCTTTTTAGCAATCAGGTCGTTTCTGTGGAGTGGAGATGCCACATTTGCTGCGCCAGGATGTGGGCTATAGCCTAATATTCCGGAAACTAACCCTACAACCAACGGGTCCCTTCCCGTTGCGGAGTCGTAAAAGAGCTGGCGTTATCAATGTGTTGACTAAGATGGCAAGGGACTTAGGATATGGCGTATTAGCTTCTAATCGCAGCTCGATTGAGCGTTCGAAGTCCCAAGTTGTTCCCCGCTGAATTCAGGCTTCCTGCTTTTGGTGCATGTGCGATTGTTTCAGGTGAGTGCGAGGGTCGCTGCTACAGTTGTTTGATTGTTGTGCGATAGCTTTTGGTGGTTTCGGGTGTCGCGCCAACAGTGATTTCGGTTGACGAACTTTTGAAAACAGGCAGGGCCTAGTGATTCAGTGGGACTGAGCTGCAACAGGGTAACACCCTTTCAAAGTTAGGAAGCTTGAGGCACTTTGGGGCTGTTTGGGACTCCGGTTTTAAACAAAACCTGGGCACTTGGCAAAAAAAACGCTCACACTAGACTTCGAAGCTAGTGTTACGTGGAAACACATGCGCGCCACGCCATCCAACTAGCTGACACATCAGATACGGTACAGTAGTTGCAAACATAAAAACCCGATATGGTAACCTGATAGAACAATAGCTATAGGTAAAAAAAATCCATTATATTCCAATCACAAAAAACTGTACCATGTCAATTAACACTCAAAACAATTTCGCGGGAAGAAACATCTAGAAAATATATTTTCTTCCATAATCTTTGTGTGAAAACAAAGAACGAGAATGAAATGACTATGAACGAAGTGAGTACAAATAGGAAACCCTAATTGGGTTGTACCCCCTATGGGATACCCCACTATGGCCTACAGAAACAAGTAAGCTATAAGTTCTGACACACCCCCATAGGCAAAGTGGGGGAGAACAAGGGGTCACAAGACCAGTCAAGCAAAGCAAAGCAAAGCTCAGGGTGGATCACAAAGTCACCACGCATTCCGAGCACAAGTTCAAAGGCCACAAGGCCAGTTCACATGCAAGATCATATATAGAGATATACAAAAAACAAGAGTATATATATGCGAAAGTACAAGCAAGGTCAAGAGGAGAGCAAGTGAGGCAAGACAGGCACAAGACCCAACTGCGTGCAGCAACGCTGATGATCACAAGGCGCAAGTGCCTTGGTGAAGACATCAGCAGTGTTGGCCTCAGAGGCCACGTACGCAAGTCGCAGCTGTCCACGCTGCTGTAGCTCACGAGCAAGAAAGTAACGAAGAGCAATGTGCTTCGTTCTGTGCTCCAGTCGCTGCTCTCGACACAAGGCCAGCATGGCCTTGTTGTCTACGTACAGGACTGGAGGAGAACGAGGCTGCTCTCCAAGGTCGGTCAGCAGGTAGGTGAGCCAGCGTAACTCCTGTGCAGCCATAGCCCCAGCGTAGATCTCAGCCTCACAACTGGAGCCGAGAACAGAAGACGAGCGGGTAGCCCGCCACGAGACAGAGCCGGAACCAAGGCTGAAGGTGTAACCCTGTGACGACCGCTGCGTAGCCTGGTCGTCAGCCCAAGAAGCGTCTGCGTGCCCAGTGAGGACCACTGGACTGCGCCCTCCAAGCACTAGCCCCATGCCCGACGTACTGCACAAGTAGCGCAACACCCTCTTCGCTGCAGCCATGTGCTCTGGTCGGTGTCTCCCAGGAGCAACATAGCGTGCGAGAATGCTAAGAGGGTATGCGAGGTCAGGTCGTGTGCAGGTCATCAGGTACATGAGGCAGCCAACAAGCTCTGCAAACGGGCCACTCGACTCTACGGACTCATCCGAAGGCAGAGCTGAGAGCGAGTGGCGAGTAGGCAGAGGAGTGGCCTGAGGCGAGGAGTACGTGAAGCCGAAGCGCTGAAGGACCTGCTGCACCATGTGTGACTGAGTCAGGGTAATGGTGCGGCGTGCTCTGTCCCGGGTGATCTGCAAGCCAAGGTAGCTGCGCAGTTCACCCAGGTCAGTGCACGTGTGTCTCTTCTGCAGCTCGGACTTCACGTAGGCGAGTCCAGCAGTGTCAGCTGTGGCAAAGACCAAGTCGTTGACGTACACGAGGATGTAGAACGGCGGCAGAGAGGTGTCGGTGCGCAGAAACAGCGACGGGTCGGCAGTGGAAGGAGCAAACCCAAGTGCCGCCAGCGTAGTCCTCAGTGTGTCGTGCCACTCACGTGGCGCCTGGCGGAGACCGTAGACTGGACGCCGGAGACTCCACTGGGTACCAGGAGGGAAAGACCCAGTGAAGCCAGGTGGGCGACGCAGCCAGATCTCCTCGTGCAGGCTGCCCTGCAAGAAAGCTGTGCTGAAGTCGAGAGAGTGCAGCTCGTAGTCACGGTGAGCAGCAACGTGTAGCAGAACCCGAAGAGTGGTCATCTTCGGGGTGGGGGAGAAGGTCTGAAAGTAGTCAACCCCCTGCCGCTGACTGAAGCCACGAGCCACGTAACGCGCCTTGAAGACAGGCGGAGAACCCGGCGGCCGCTTCACCCTGAAAATCCACATGCCACTGACGATGTTCGCCCCAGGAGGGGGAACAGCGTCAACGTAGGTGCCTGTGGACTTCCAGGAAGCCATCTCTGCATCCATAGCTGCCTGCCACTGAGAGGAGTAGGGACCCTCTATCGCCTCCGCGTAAGAGCGCGGAGTCGGGATGTCTGGTGCATCCGGGTCTCCCTCAGGGGCTAGCAGTACAGACGCGAGACGAGGTGAAGCGGCGGCCAGACACTGGAACTCC